CCCCCCCCCTTTCTCCCCCCCCCCCCCCCAGTTCTCCGTCCTCCCCCTGGGGGGGGTCACGGAGAGTGCAGGGACACGTCTGTGACAGGTGACCCAGTTCAGCCAGGCGTTCTCACCTTTGGCCGGGGTGTGTTTAGCCGTTCTGGTCCTGTGGCTTTGAGCAGAGACTCAGAGGTGGGGGGGCGTTTTCTTTTTCTTTCTCTTTGTCGGATTAGAGCGGGGGTGTCAAACTCCAGTCCTCGAGGGGCCGCCGTCCTGCAGGTTTTAGAGGTTTCCCTGTTTCATCACACCTGTTTCACATCATAGAGCCGTTATCATTAGCTTAAAAATTTGCTAAACAATGTCCAGAGGAAAATCTGATTGAACTCATTGACTGCCAGAGTTTTTTGAGCATTTTGACTGGTTTTTCAAGAGCCACAGAATAGTTTGTGCTATGACTATGTAAACACCGAACACACCAAAAGAAAGAGTAGACTCTCTTCTTTCATCAGGAAAAAGAAATTTGTTTCTACCTTATTCCGTTCTTCCTCGACTTGCGTCTCACCGGCGACATGTTCTCTCAAAGCGAACCGTTCCCTTTTTCTTATTTGCCTACAGTCTATGCTCATCTCACATCAAAAGTGGCACTGCCCCCTAGAGGGTCAATTTGTTACTACATACTCTGTCTAGAAGCCGATATTTACGGACAAGCTTTAGCAGATCGTCCCCCAGCCACTCTCGTTGAAAAACATAAAAGACGTTTATAGACGTCCTTGGCAGCCAATGAGTTAATCAGAATCAGGTGTGCGAGGCGGGAAAATGTCTAAAACCTGCAGGACGGCGGCCCTCAAGGACTGGAGTGTGACACCCCTGGATTAGAGTCTCCTGTAGGTGTGTCAGTGGTGTGTCTAAAAACGTTTAGACCGTTCAAACACCATACGTCCTAACCGCTGGTGGTCACCCCAACCTAACCCTAACCCTAACCAAACCCCCCCATCACAACCCACCCAGACAACAGCACTAAAATCACACATCCTGCACCAACACCCCCCACCCCACCCTCACCCCTACCCATTCACACACAAAAGCACTAAAAGTCACTTTCATACAGCACTAAAACTCACTTTCATACAGCACTAAAACA